CCCAGCCCCATCTGTTTTATTTCTTAATTTCGCGTTAAGTCTGGATATTTTGCAGTCCGTTTGACCAGGTCGTCTTCTTGCTTACCTGGTGTATATCCCCCATTCCCATCCCCAGTTCCCCAGCCCCCTCCCAGGAGGTAACACTGGCCAGCAGCTCCTTGTCCACCCTCCCAGAGATGAGGAGACAGATGTGTATCTGAGGACACTGATGCTGTCTCACACTCCTCGCTGCTCAATGCCTGTGTCTGGGCAGTGCTTTCTCACGGGGACTGGACTCTACCTGGCACAAGGCTCCTCACTTCTTCTCACTGCCAGCCCCACCTGCTAACCCAGAGACACTGGACTGCCTGGCCAGGACGTGCCTTCTCAGTGGGGATGGGGAGGGGGGTGCTCCACCCCCAAGCCCAGGGTCACTGGCTTCAGCTTTCTTGTGGATCCAGCCTTGTGCTCAGGGTGGACTTTCAGGTAGATCCAAGGAGAGGACTCTCTGCTCTCAGGGTGCCTGCCCACAGCCTCTTTCTAAACAGTGTCTGGGCTTGTCTGGAGGTGGACTGGCTGGCTGGGACCAACTACAAGGCCAGTGGGCCGAAGGAGACAGGAGGCACAGGGGCAGCTGCAGCAGCACAGTGTGGGGGATTTGCTCAGAGCAGCGGTCACAGGGGGCCTCCACATCTCAGGTCCTGCTCCTCAGCCAGATGCTGGGCGGCCCAGGTGTGTGGTGCGAGCCCATGCAGGTGTGATCCAGATGTCCCCTGGCCCCTCTCCCTTCCCAGGAGGGTGAGCTGGCCTTGCAGAGCTGGCTGGCAGCTGGGGGCTCCGTTTCTGAGAAGAGGGTCTTTCTGCCTGTGAGTCAGCACAGGGAGTGTGCTGTGGCCATGTCTAGGGCCATGGGTCCCTGATCCCCCAGGAAGAAGTTGGAGTGGGGAGGGGGACCAGCCTCACCTGCTGCCACCCGCAGACCCAGCTTATCCAGATGGTGGTGTGGATGCTGCAGCGCCGGCTCCTCATCCAGCTGCACACCTATGTCTGCCTGATGGCCTCACCCAGCGAGGAGGAGCCCCGCCCGCGAGAGGACGACGTCCCCTTCACTGCCCGGGTCGGCGGTCGCAGCCTCAGCACGCCCAACGCCCTCAGCTTTGGCTCCCCAAGTAGGGCCCCCAGGGCATCGCTGTGGTAGTCAGGGGAGATGCTTGGGGGTGGTGCCCAGGAGGCTCAACATGGGCCATGCTGTGAGTGTTGAGGGGCCTCCACATGGCTGCACACACACACTCACAGGCACGCGCCTTGTGTCCCCCGTGGAGACACCTCTCCTGTCTCCTAGCACCACCATGACTCTGAGGTGGCAGCTCTGCCTCCAGGCTCTTCAGCAGGCTTGCTAGAGTCAGGAGCAGCTCCCAGCCTACCAAATCAGTGCTGGAATCTCTGCCCCAGCCTGGGATCAGAGCAGGATCTCACAGCACTACCCGGACAGCTGACACCTCTGTGCCCCAGAACAGCTGTCATGGCCAGTGTGGCTCAAGGGCGGCAGCCTGTTGCCAGGTCCCAGGTCCCAGGTCCCCAGGCTTCGAGAAGGAAGGGGGTGGAAGACTTTGAAAGTCCTCCCCTGGCTGAGGTCTGGCTGTAGGGTTCATGCTTCATGTGAGGACCCTACTTGCCCGGGGTGCTTTGTCCTCCATCCTGGGTGAGGGGCAAGATGCCCAGGCCCACCTTGAGGTGTTTGTGGGGCACACATTGCACCTCTGTTCAGGTCCCTTGAGGGTGCCCCCAGAGGGGAGGCTACCCATTTCCCAAGTCAGCCATATGAGGGGCGTGTGTCACACCCAGGAGGTGGGGCAGCCGCGGATGCTTGCAGGCAGATGTTGCAGCTAGGGTACCAGATAGGGCCCTTGTGGGAGTTAGGGGTGTCATTGGAGGCTGGCTGCTGGCTCTGCCCTCACTGTTCCCCTGGGTGTCCTGGAATTTCACTTGGTCACCCTGACCCATGGCCCCCACAGCCAGCAGTGATGACATGACCCTCACCAGCCCCAGCATGGACAACTCCAGCGCAGAGCTGCTTCCCAGCGGGGACTCACCACTGAACCAGAGGATGACGGAAAACCTGCTGGCCAGCCTGTCAGAGCATGAACGCGCAGCCATCCTCAGTGTACCCGCAGCCCAGAACCCTGAGGACCTCCGCATGTTTGCCAGGTGGGTGCAGGTTGACCGTTGGGACTGGGGCCAGTTGCAGCGTCAGGGCAGAAAGTGGACAGGGACGTACGCAACAGGACCAAATCCACTGAGAACAAATGGGGCCCTGTTCGAGATGGAGTCTCTGCAATCAGGTGTGTAGGGGCAGGTGCCACTGCCCAGGCATGGGGATGCAGCTTGTCACCAAGACCCCGGGCTGGGGGCCTGGCGTGCCTGTTTTTGGGCCTCTTCGCTCTCCACTACTTCTTAGATATTTCTTGTCCCTTGAGAGGCAGTGCCAAGTTCTCACCCTCAGGAGACTTGGCAGGGGTTTGCCCAGGACTCTAAGCCCCGGGGGGCACCCAGGATCCCCCACGTTATAGGTGATGTGGCTCAGTGGTCTCTGTTAGGCCCACCCTGATGTGGGGGATAGTGTAGTGGCACACTTTTCCGGGAGTGGTCAGGTTGTCAGGGACTGAGTTCCCTGTTAAGAACCACACTCCAGGCCCTTGAGAGGACCACTTGCAATGCTTCTGAGCAGCTGGTCCAGGTCTCACCTGCATTCTAGCATCCTCTGTGCCAGCCTCAGTTGCAGAAACCACCCTAAAGCAGTGACTTTCCAAATGATGGTGACATTCAAAAAAAAAAAAAAAAAGCAGGCCAGGCACAGTGGCTCACATTTGTAATCCCAGCACTTTGGGAGGCCAAGGTGGGTGGATCACCTGAGGTCAGAAGTTCGAGACCAGCCTGGCCAAAATATAGTGAAACCCTGTCTCTACTAAAAAATACAAAAATTAGGCAGGCATGGTAGCACACTCCTGTAGTCCCAGCTTACTTGGGAAGCTGAGGCAGGAGAATTGCTTGAATCTGGGAGGTGGAGGTTGCAGTGAGCCGAGATCGAGCCACCGCACTCCAGCCTGGGTGACAGTGAGACTCCATTTCTTGGGGGGGGGGGGGAAATGCTGTGACCTTTTGGCTCCAGAGCTATGTGGGACTCACCATAGCATGAAAAAAAAGCCACCAGCAGACCCCTGATCCCAACATCAGGACACAGGCTGGGGCAGCTCTGGGTGTGAACAGCTGTCTATCCTCCTGGACCCACTTTGCCCACCTGCTGGTCAGCAAGACCATGGTGGGCGTGCGGTCCTGGAGGCCTGCCTGCCCTTGTTGGGGGTCTGTGGCTGCCTCCCTGGCCTTCACTGCCAGCTCTGCTCAGGCCTGTGGGCAGCTCAGAGTTGATTCCCAACAGTAGCTATTCAGCAGAGGCCTCTGGGGGCTGGCGTCAGGTCGGGCTCATGCCCACCCATCCCTCCCAGGCTCCTTCACTACTTCCGAGGCCGCCACCACCTGGAGGAGATTATGTACAACGAGAACACTCGGCGCTCCCAGCTGCTCATGCTGTTTGACAAGTTCCGCAGCGTGCTGGTGGTGACCACCCACGAGGACCCCGTGATTGCCGTCTTCCAGGCTCTGCTTCCCTGAGCCCAGGCGGAGGGCGGAAGGCTGCTGGGGTGTGCAGGTGGGCGCTCGCGTCTTCCCACCCAGGGCTTCCTCCCTGCTGAGGCTGAGCCCTCTTAGCCCTGAGGCCTGGCACTGGGTGGATGCCGGCCAGCCATGGCCCAGTGAAGCCTGCAGAGCCCCGCTGTACTGGCCCCTGGTGGTTCAGCTGTGAGGCCGCTGCACTCCGCTTTCCTATGCTTCCCTCCAGTCCTCGCCGCATGTGTAGGCGTCTCCACGCTGGAGGGGGCCTGCCAGAACTCCTGTCTCTGGGTGAGGGCTGCATCCTTCTAGGCCCATGTGGGCTGTGCGTTTCTCAGACCCTCCTTTTGTCCCTACACCTGCTCCCTGGAACCCCCCTCTGGGGCCACCCTGAAGAATGTGCTGAAACACTTGTGTGGCCTGTCCCCGTCTCTCTGACAGCCTTCCATTTGTGAAGTGCCCTGTGGCCCTGTCCCTAGCACCACCTCTGTCTGCAATGCACTTCTTCCTCCCAGGCTGCCATGAGCCTTTCCTGGCCCAGCCCTCACCACAGTCCATGGAAGCCACAAACAGGCTCATAGCCAAGCTGTGACCTGGTCCTGACCATCTGGGGCGCGAGGGCCTGAACTCCCCTGCTAGGCTGGAGCAGCCCTGTCACCTGTGCACATCTTGCTGGCGGAAGCATGGCCCACTGTGCAGGACCCACCCTCGGGGGCTCTCTGCTCCCACACCGATGATTCTCCCCAGCATCCACACTGGGTCTGGCACTACGTACTCAGGGCCCCCAGCCCTCGTGTCCTGGAGGAAGAGCTGGCTCCAGACACGTGCTGACCACCTAGAAGAGCTCTGGCTAAAGCGCAGTTTTCTAGAAATAAAACATTTATTTGTTTTTTAAACAATTAAAAAATATTGTCTGGGCAGGCCCTTTGCTTAGGCCTGTGCGTCCTGCTCAGCCACTCTGTCGACCACACTGACCCAGGGGCTGCCCCGGACGTAGAAGCGGAGGGGTTTCCGGGCCCACTCCCCTGCATAGCCAACGCCCACCCGGGCTGCTGTCACTACAGCTGGCTCACTGGGCTCCAAGGGACCACGCTCCAGCCATATAGCTTCATCCTGTGCCAGGTCCCTCTGGTCAAAGCTCTTGTTGATGGCCAGGGCCTGGCACAGCTTGGAGGGGCCACTGCAGAGCTCACGGTCCTTGAGGACACGGCTGGCGGTGCCTTTCCGGAGGGTGCTGCGAAGCTGACGCATGGTCTCCAGACCTTCCAGGGGCTCCAGTGCTCGCAGCAAGACGCAAGCCCCGTCCCCTGTGGGATGGATGGACAATTTGGAAGTGGAGCCTCCCTAGGCTCCTGTCCTCTCTGCCCTAGTGCACATCCAGACATCCTGTGCTGCAGGGAGGGTGCAGCTGCCTTCCTGCCTGGGCCAGGGACCTGCTCTACGCACCTGCACCGTCTACTGGGTCTGACCTGGTGGGAGGGGGCTGCACCTCACTGTGTCCAGACCCCTCTGCCTACCTTGCCATCCTCCATGCCTGCACCATGAGGTGTGCCTCCTGTGGGCACTTCTGGCTGCCACCACCAGGCAGTGCCTCCACCACTGTGGCCGCCCTCACAAAGCCAGACTCTTAAAAACACATGACGAATGCCGGATACCAGCTCCTTTCTACCTGGCTTCCCCTGGTCTTGTGACTGGCAGCAGCTATGAGGCCAGCAAAGGAAGCTCCAGAGAGCCAGTCCTCGGTTGCGATCATTCTGCCAGGAAGCAGGAAACCTTGGGCCTAGCCAGGCCCCAGGGCTCCCCTTCTGCCTCACCCACTCAGCATTTGTGTTGGTCAAGTGGTGGGGGCTAGGGGTTGGCTTAGAGCAGCTGTCAGTGTGCACCGGATGTTGGGAGAGCCCATGCAGTGACTCAGTGGAAAGACTGACTGCCACACCCTGTACAGGCAGGGCAGGAGAAGGCTGGCGAAGCCCCCCTCACCTCCCTTGGGATCCTTCCTCCAGCCTAGCCCCTCCCTCACCAGGCCAGGCCACTTGAGAAGCAGAGACAGCAAGTGAAGGTTCCTGGGCCCAGGGGCTCACTCAAGCACAGATATCTGAATTTCCTCTGCCCTGCAGGTTTGGAAAGGTCCCTTGGATTCCCGGCTGGGGACAATGATGACCTGGACCCTGGCCAGAGGAGCCTAGCCCTCCAGCAAGGCAGCTCCCTGGAGACACCTGCTGTGACTCACCTGTGCACCCCTGGCCCTCCCAGCCACCTGGGAGTCAGAGGCTTAGCCCAGAGGTGGCCAAGCCAGTCCCCACTCTTGGGCTGTGGCCATGTGAGCCTCTGCATCAGCAGCCAGGGGCGAGCACTAGTGGACAAAGCCATGCCCTCCAGCAAAGCCAGCAAGTGCGGCATTCTTCTCCAGCAAGTGCGGCATTCTTCTGAGCAGATACCCTTGACCAGCCAGTTGTCAAAGTATTTCAAGCTAAAATCAAGGCCAAGCAAAGCCTTTAAGTTCCCGTCCATTCTGTGATTCCCACGCTGCTTCCAGCTCACCAGGTGGGGCGCCCGCTGCCCACCCTGACCCACCTCAGTAGGAAGGAGCGGGACCCTCTACATCCCTGTGAGTGCAAGACACATGCCCCTCATGGTCCCACTGAGCCCCCACAGAGCCGCCTGCAAATGAGTCAAAGCCTGGCCGCCCTCATCACCACACCCCCCTGCCCTGGCTCCTTCACACACAACACATCCAAGTCCCACATCCTGACAAAAATACGACCCTTTGATCTCTTACCAAATCTTCCTGTCCTCGCCTACTTCTCTGCCCACCCTAACTCCCCGCTGCTATGCCCACTGCTCCATCCTTGGCAACCTGACCACTCTGCTCTTCTTAGCACTGCGATCATCCTCTTCTCAAACTGGCTTGTAATCCTCATGTGCTGCCTCCATCAAGGGCAGGTGACACCTGTGTCCTAGGCCTCCTTTCTGCTTCCACTTCAACCAACACTTTCTTTTTATTTTGTGACGGAGTTTTGCTCTTGTCGCCCAGGCTGGAGTGCAGTGGCGTGATCTCGGCTCACCACAACCTCCACCTCTTGGGTTCAAGTGATTTTCCTGCCTCAGCCTCACTAGTAGCTGGGATTACAGGTGCCCACCACCATGACCATCTATTTTTTGTATTTTTTGTAGAGACGGAGTTTTATCATGTTGGCCAGGCTGGTGTTGAACTCCTGACCTCAGGTGATCTGCCTGCCTTAGCCTCCCAAAGTGCTGGGATTACAGGTGTGAGCCACCACGACTGGCCCCAACCAACCCTTTCTACTCCTCTAACCAACCTTGCCCCGTCAATGCAGCCAGAGCTCCTGAAACCCTGACCTGGCCCTGAAAATGGCACTTCCTTGCTCAAATATCTGCCCCACCTCAGTCCTCCTGATGGTCCCCTGGCCGTTAGTTGACGGGGCTCTGCCAGCCCTCTAGCCCCCTCAACCGCCAACCCCCCATGCCCCAGCACTGCTCACCCTGGCTGGAGATGTTCATGCAGAAGTACATGCCATAAATGAGGTACACGTACAGTGTCCCCGGCTTCATGAACATGCCTCGGTTGCGGGGGGTCTGCCGGCCACCCCTTGAGTGGGCAGCTTCATCCTCTGGCCCCAGGTATGCCTCAGTCTCCACGATGCGGCCTCGGAGTTCTGTGCCATTAGGAAGTCGCCGGACTAGGACCTGTGTGAAGTCAGTTTCTGCTCAGGGCAGGAAGGGATGGGGGTCCACTCACCCTAACAGTGCCCAGCCTGGACCTCATCTCCCCAGCTCAGGGTGTGTCAGCCGCCCAGGTCTAGCCAGGGACCTTGCCCCGTCTCCATCCTGCCTCTTCTCTTGCTCCTGCTGAGCCTGAATATGGCTGTTGAGGGCAACAGTTGTCTCCTCCAGCCCTGCTAGACCACCAGACCGCAGGCCAAAGACACCTCAGGCCACAGCCAGGGCGGGGCTGGGAACCAGCAGTCATGGATTCACCTTGCAGGTCAACCTCCAAGTCCTCTCAGCAGGGCCCTCCATTCCCCAGCTTCCTCCTTTCCCAAGTACCCTTGAGAAAACCATCAGCATTTAGCATGAGGCCAGGCATCACAGAAGGCACAGGACCCCAAGGATGTCCCCACACCAGCTACCTGGGAAATCCCAGAGCCTGTGAAGTCCCCTAAACCTGGGCTGCTGAGGTGGCCACAAGGGACCCTCATACTAAGCTCCCACCCTCCGGCTCTAAGGCCTTTCTGAGCAGTAGGCCCCGCTGCCCCACGGTGCCCCAGCCTGGACCATGGTCTTGGTAACGGCTAACAGTTGTGCCCTCAGTGCTTGGAGCCCAAGTTAACAGCAGAGCACTGGGGACCAGCCACATCCCCAGCACCTGTCTCGTTTTTAGGCCAGAGGCGTCAGCTGGAGAGCCAGACCACCTTCACCTCAGCCCAGGAAGCCCTGTGGTGCCAGAGGCCATGGTCAGTATCATGGGCTGGGGAGGAGGGGCACTGGAGCTCAGATGCTTGCTGGGGGAGCATTCAGGAGGCCTTCCTGGAGATAGGGTGGAGGAAAGAAGGGGTCAGTGCCTGTGCTGGAAGCCCAGAAATCCTTAGGCATCCAGAGCCGTGAGGACAGAAGTGAACAGGCCAGGCTTGGCCAGACCACGTCCAGGGGAGAAAGGGTGGCCCTGTTCCATCTTCCCTGGAGCTTAGAGGGAATGCCCCTCCAGGGGCTTCACGCTGCGTACTCCTCTGCCTCCATGGGGGCACACTGTGGGGGCCCAACTACCATTCTGGAGAGGAGGTTCCCACAGCCCTTTTCTCACTGTTTCCTTTTCCATCCCAAATTTCTGATCTGGATTTCACTCTGATACCATTTCCACCAATGGCAGATACTGGGGCCTCTCACCCCACCCCCATTGCCAACACACACACCCTCTTCCTTGCTGGCAGAGCCTCCTGGGGGACACCACACCCTCCTCAGCCCAGAGAGTGGCCTGGGATTTCATGGCAACTCACTGCAGTGACGCTTTTAGGGATGAGTGCATGACCCAAGCCTGGCTGAGGGGTCTGCAGGGGCATCCACTGGGAGGTTATGGAGAGGGCTGTCCCTAATCCAAGGGACACAGTGAAACACCCTCTTCTCTGCTGGACATCATCTTGTCCACCAATGAGCTCAAGTGGGCATGACTGTGGCCTGCCAAGGATGCTGAATAGAGACAAACGTATTGTGGTCCCTGATGCCACACTGGGCCCTTGCCCTGCTCCTATGATGCACCTGCCACATGTACCGTTTTGTTGTATCACAAATGCCCATCATATTTTATTTTTTGCTTTTGAGACAGTCTTGCCCTGTCGCCAGGCTGGAGTGCAATGGCGTGACCTCAGCTCACTGCAACCTCTGCCTCCTGGGTTCAAGCGATTCTCCTGCCTCAGCCTCCCAAGTAGCTGGGATTACAGGCACCCGCCATCACACCCAGATAATTTTTTTTTTTTTTTTTGAGACAGAGTCTCGCTCTTTTTTTTTTTTTTGAGACAGAGTCTCGCTCTGTCGCCCAGGCTGGAGTGCAATGGCGTGATCTTGGCTCACTGCAAGCTCCACCTCCCGGGTTCACACCATTCTCTTGCTTCAGCCTCCTGAGTAGCTGCGACTACAGGCGCCTGCCACCACGCCTGGCTAATTGTTTTTTGTATTTTTGGTAGAGACAGGGTTTCACTGTGTTAGCCAGGATGGTCTCGATCTCCTGACCTCGTGATCTGCCCACCTTGGCTTCCCACAGTGCTGGGATTACCGGCGTGAGCCACCATGCCTGGCCACAAACGCCCATTTAAGGTGCTTTTAGAAGGATCCACATGGGGACAGAATGGTGTTTTTTCTCCACGAGATCAAGCCCACATTCTAGGGTCTGCTCTTTAGCACCCAATTCCTGCCACTGGTATTTCTCTTCTGGCTCTTTTTGGTGATTATAACCTAAAAGTAGGCTCACTAAAGGACAAAGAGAAGGCCTTGGAGCCTCTGGAGAACCAGAAAGGCAGGCCTGGGGCTTTGGCATCAAGGACCACCACCCAGACAGTGCTCCCAAGAGATCCAGCCAAGATGCCGTGGCTGTGTGAGCATTTGCTTGTGGGGACAGCCTGCACCGCAGGCCCCACCAGAATGGGCCCTGGGCAGTCCCTCCTTCTTACTCCAAGTCTGATAGGCAGAGCCCAGATCCCGGACCTACACTGAGCTGCAGGGGCCCCGGGAAGCCAGCACTGCACTGAGAGCCACTACAGTGGGAAGGGGCAGCCGAACACTGGCCACAGCCACAGTTCCCATGTGTGTAAAAACTGTGAGGTGGATTCCAGGTGAGGAAGGCTAACAGTGCAAGTGCTCCTGCCCTAGATGCCAGAAGCCGGGGGGTAGACAGTGGCACCCCTGCTGCACCCTGGGCAAACAACACTGACAATCTCCACATTCTTCCCAGATGATCTCAGGCAACTAAGAGGAGCTATCCAGGGACCAGTGTGAGCAAAGCAGCTAACTGCACGAGGACAAGGAGGACTAACCGAGGGCCAAGCCCAGCAGGCAGCGGACAGGGCTTCAGGGACAACTGCAGTGACAGGCACTTTAGGAGAGACCACGTTGCTATGTTCACATTACCTGTCCCAGAAATGCCCGGGCCAGGGGGACTGCTGGCTGGTCGAAAAACTCCAACCCCAGTCGGGTAAGGTGGCCCTTCGGGCTTGAGAAATAGATGCTGCGGTATGGGCCCAGGGTGGTGGGTGGTCCCAAACAGGGCTCCTTGGGGCAAGGTGCCTGGGCTGTGTCAGACGGGCTGTGTGGCTGCTCTGCTTTGGCTAGTCGCTGCTTTTTTTGCCCCATCCTTCGGGAAAACTGTAATGGGAAAAATAAATAAATAAGCATCCGAATAGAAGACAGCTGTCTGGTAAGGTCAGGCTCAGGAAGTGCAAAGACTGGATTTGACCACCTGCTTCGGTTTCTTCATCTGCAAAGAGGGGGTGACCATCCTGTGGGTAGTTATAAGGCACAAACACCCCGACACACTCGAGGCCTCAGGAAATGATTACATCTGATGGACGGCTGCTGCTGGTGGCAGGGTGGCTGCTCTGCCCCACATATGTGCGAGCTGCACAGCGTGGGGGCCCAGGCTGCACGACCTGGGGAGCAAATGGTGGCCGGAGCCTGGGACAGCAGGGCTGGGGCCCTCTGATTCCCACTCATCATGCAGGTCCCAAGCAAACGTCTGAGCTGGTTTCTGGAACCCTGCCCTTTCATCCAACCCTTACCAGGAATTCAAAACACAGCCAGGACCTTGGCAGGGCCTTAGCAGGGATCCCAGTGTGTCAGAATCCTTGGAATGGCCCCCAAGGCCTGACACACAGGGAGGAGTGAGTACCGGGGTGACCACTGGCCTGGCCCCATCCCATGTGCTCAGGGTCCCTAACTGTTCTCTGCTTCATGGCCCAGGTTGGATAACGAGCAAGTGGGGCAAAGGCAAGGTCTCCTGAGGGACCAGGAGGGTCTGCTGAGACCCAGCAGGCCCCCAGCCTCCCGCCTGTGGCTTCCCCATGTGTAGGGGGAACCTGACCACACATCCTCAGCTGCCCTGGGGCAAAGGAGGAGGGAAGATACAGGGGGCAGGTGCGCGTCGGCCTGGCAGCACCCAGAGGGCTGGTCTTCAGCAGCACCTAAGTCCTCCTGGCATGGGAGAGATGCATTATTTTTAACGGGAGTGCTGACGTTCATGTCGAACGGAGACTGCCAGTCGGCCTGGAAAGGACGCTGACGTGACTGTCTCCGCACTCGGCCAGCGCTGCCAACGCGCCGTGGGCTCAGCCCCCGGGCGCTGCGGCCCCTGCTTTCGGCCCGAGCTTGGCCCTTGCCTACGCTCTGGCTCTGCCCCAACCCTCGGGGCGGTGGGCGGTACGCCCGTCCCCGGTACTCCCGCTCCGGCGGCCGCGCTCGCTGCTGCGCCTTGGGGTGGGCGCGTCTGTTCCGCGGGGCGGCCGAGGCGCGCGCTCACCTGGGCCCCGCTGCGCGCAGGCATCCGGCAGCTCGGGTCGGGGCTTCGTGGGGCTCGGACCCCGGCACAGAGACCAGCAGCCGCCGACCCCGGAAGCACCGCTGGTACCGGGGCGGAGCGGCGCCTGCGCAGAACGGGACGGAAGCCGGGAAGGCGGGGGCAGTGAGCGCAGGGAACGGGCTGCGGCCCCGGGGCGGGGCAGACCACACGGAGGTGGATCCTCTTCCCAGCGCCCACCACCAGTTGTGGACCCAGGCCCGGGCCTGATGCGGCTCCTGCGGAGCGACAGCGGGGAAGGGGCAGGTGGGGGTGGGGCGAGCACCCCACTCTGCCTCGGCGCCCCCCCAATGACCCGCTGTCCGTCCCCGCCTGCGCCCTGGTCGCCTGGCGGCCTCAGAGCCCACTCCACCAGCGGGTGGTCAGACCACCAAGAGGACGGGCCCATCGTGAACCTGAGTGGGTCCTCGAGGGGCCAGGGCGGAGTGGTCGTGCTTTGGGGGAGGGTGCAGGCCGCAGACGTGTTTTCCGGTGCGGTGCCTGCGGAGTACGCGCCTGGGAGACCGCCCCAGCCCTGGTCCGGAGTGGGCCAGGGAGTCCTTATCCAGGAAGTGGACTCCGGGCCTGTGCGGAAGCCCCCGCCCCTGGTCCGGGGTTGTCACAGCCTGGTAGGGGGAAGGAAGGAGGGAGCGGCGCGGATTCTGCGTCTGCCGCAGAGCCCCCATCCCTCTTTCCGCCCAAGGATGCTGAAGGGAGTTCGCCCACTTTCTGGGTTGGGCCTGCTGGAGCGGAGCCAGCCTCTTCTAGAGACTGAGGCCAAACCAGGGCTGAACACAGCCTGTCCGTGCGCAGCCTTCTGAGGCCTCCCCAAGGCCCAGCGGCCTGTAACCTCTCAGTACCTCTCAGGTCAGATCCATGCCCCTAGGCAGGGGCAGGGATGGTGCTTGGCCCAGTGGAAAGAAGGGCCTAGGGGACGGGCCCTGAGGGAGCTGGGAACACTGCTGGCTCCCACGGTTCATGGCAGCCCCAGCACCCAGCAGAGCCATCCCCCACTTCTGGCCACTTGGGGGTTTATCTGGGTCTGCAGGGCCCCTCCCCTATGGCAGGCACAGTCCCACCCCACAATCCACCTCTGCCATACAAAAACTCTTGAGGGACTTTTCCTGAGGTGTCTTTGACTTCTGTGACCCTGGTCCTGGAAAAGGGCACCTGAAAAGGGCTTGAGCAACTGGGCACCTGACTGTGTCAGCTGGGAGACGCTGGGCAGGACAGACGCACAGGCCATGTGTCTGGAGCCCTCAGATGAGGGTGACACCTGGTCCTACAGAAAGGCTAACAGAGCAGGACCCTGGTCTCCAACTGCGTCTCCTCCTCTGACCAGCCGTCCCACTCCCGTGGGCCCCAGCCAGGACTTCGTGGGGAGGGAGGGGCCATGAGCTGCTGGAAGCCACCAGCTGTTTGTAGCACTGTGTGCCGCTTCCGGGGGTGGGGGCACAATGTGTCATCAATCCATGTTTATAAAGCAGCCCTGGATGTGATCCCACACCCTCCCTGCTTATCCCCTGCAGCCATGCCTTCCAAACAATAAGTCTCTCCTTCCGGTGGCAATAGTCCCCCGTCCTCCCAGTGCTCCCCCTCAGTCTAGTAGGGAAACTGAGGCCCCAGTTGAGCCTTTGTCTTCTTGATGGGCAGGGAGAGGATGGGTGTTACTTTGCACTTATATTTATTCTGGGTTTACAAGTGATACGTGGTCCTTGCAGAAATCATGGGGAGTCCAGGAGCTCCCAGAGGGGTGTTTTTATCCCCACCTTTCTTATGAGGAAAGAGAACCACTTGAAGGGCAGACTGGCCCCTGCCCCAGGAGGTGGAGAGGCTGGCGCTGGGGCGCCAGCAACCAACTTCTCCAGATGTTCTGGCCTGAGTGCTGCGGGTTGTGCAATCTCTGGGCACCCCCCCCCGACTTCCTGGTTTGTGGTCTAAGGCTGCCACCACAGGCTGGAAGTGGTGGGATGAGAGTTCCAACTGTGGCCTGCAGAGTGGGCTGGCGGGCTGGTCCGGGGCAAGAGAAAGTGGTGCCAGGTGAGAGGAGGGGGGCCTGGGGCCTCCTCTGTCCCCAGTTTACCCCACTGCTGGGCTGGAACAGGCTTGTTGGAGGAGGCAAGGATATCAGTGGAAGATGGAGATGAGGACACCCTCGAGGCTTTGAAAGGAGTGAAGGCTAGTATTGGTGCTGGGGTGAGCAGCCCTGACCCCCGACCTCCACAACAGGCCATAGGCTGTGGAGGGGCTGGAGCTGCCTCTAGCTGTAGGAGGCGTGGCCATCAGTCACTGGAGCCTTTATAAGCAAGTCCTTGAGAGATGTGGCTCTATCGGCCACAGGGGCCAGGGTTCTAGTATCAGCCTCAGGACCCCAGGGTGCCCAGCACACTGGCTCTGTCTTCTCTCTGATGGAGGGGGGTGCTGACAACTGTTGAAGCGGGTGTCAAGTCAGAGCCCATGGGCTCCTCTACATAGCTTTGAGCTGGCAGCTTCCCAGCAGGGTGGCTTTTGGCCTCTTGACTGGTCTCCAGCGCCCTCTGTGTCTGGTGATCCCTGGAGGGTCAAAGCTTCCTTGGGCAGAGAAGGCAGCCACTGGGCAGGCCAAAGTGGGGTGTGTGTGAGCTACATCCTCCCTGCCTGGGGCTGTGCTGCTGGGCCCTGGGCCCCGGTGCTTATGGGAACCCCTTGCCAAACCCTGAGATATGGGGAGGGGGCAGCTGCCTCAGAAATAGCCTATGACTTCAGGCCACTGGCTGGCCTGGCCCACTTCTGCCTCTTCCCCAAATAGCCAGGAGCTGGTCATGGGCCCATCCCTGGAGCTCCCCAGGCAGGGGCAGTTTCTTCTGATCATTCCAGGGACTCTCCAAAGCCCAGGATCTGACCCCTTGGGTGATTACTTGTGGCCTGAAAGCTGAGCTGAGGATTCTGGGGTAGCTGTTGGGAACACTCCTCTTACTGGTCAGGGCTCCTGTTCTCTCGTGTCCTGGTGTGAGGTCCACAAACCCTGGGGTTGGTGTAGACACTCACCCATTCTCAAGACACCTGCCCACCAGCCCTGTGAGTGCTGGGCAACTGTAGCTGTTTTCCATTTCTCCAGGGTGCAGGAAGCGGGAGGAGAGGGGCCAGGAGCTGGGTTTCCGTATAGGGGGGCTCCTCCACCAGAACAGAGACTAGTAGGGCAGGCATGAGGCAGAGCACACATATGTGCACACAGTTGTCCATGTGGACTGGGTACAGTCCTGAGTTTCATGCGTGTCTGTGTGAAGAGACCACCAAACAGGCTTTGTGTGAGCACAAGGCTGTTTATTTCACCTGGGTGCAGGTGGGCTGAGTCCGAAAACAAAGTCAGCAATGGGAGATACGGGTGGGGCCGTTTTATAGGATTTGGGTAGGTAGTGGAAAATTACAGTCAAAGGGGTGGTTGTTCTCTGGTGGGCAGGGGTAGGGGTCACAAGGTGCTCAGTGGGAGAGCTTCTGAGCCAGGAGAAGGAACTTCACAAGGTAATGTCAGCAGTTAAGGCAGGAACCAGTCATTTTCACTTCTTCTGTGATTCTTCACTTGCTTCAGGCCATCTGAAGGCTCAGAGGCCTGACACTGAGCACACATGTATTGAACCCCCTGTGATCATCCTTCTGATGACCTCACTCAGGAGGCCAGGGTGGGCTGAGAACCTGGGGATTCCTGGACACAGGCTGTAAGATGGGGAATTTGGTCTGGCAGGGCACGACTGGGGCATTCGCTCTCCACGAAGGTGATACTGGGTGTGGGTGTTTCAGCTCAGAGCCAGCTGTGGCTGGGCTCCTGGCAGCTGGCGATGAGTGTCCGGGACTTGGAGCTGTCTGGGTGGGGTCTGACAGCGTCCACTGCAGGAGGAGACGCTGCTGACATCAGATGCCCAGCTGTGGCATGCTTTGGAGGCAAGCCAGTCCCCAGCTTTCCAGAGAGGACACCACTTGTGGCCCTGCCAGCCTAGTCTGGGCATCCAGGCCCAGTAGGGCTTGCTTATCCCTGGCAGGGGTCAATATTGCTAGCACGGAGACGTGTCCTGTCTCTGGCTGTGAGCTCTGGCATGGGAGGGGTGGCACATGCAGGCTACAGGAGCACTGAGTGTTGGCACCGGGCGCAGGCTCCCTCTCACCTGGTGTCCCTGATGCACTGGCAGTCATCCCCTGGTGGAGTTCCCTCCACCCCCCAAAGCTTTCATTGCTCCTTCTCCATGAGAATTGTGTTGATACTGCTTGTGTTCAGAGAGGACCCACTATGTGCGCAGCACCACCCTGGTCCATGGCATGGACAAGGATATGGCGCAGAAGGATATTGCGCCCAGGCTCTGGGATCTACCCATGAGCTGTTACCAGGCACCTTTATTTCAAATTGTCCCCTTTCTTTTCTGTGTAGCCAAGGACCAGGCCATTGTCTGCATTGGGCACTGGGTGCAACAGCTCAGTTTGGAGAGGACTGGTGCCACCCAGACCCAGAGGATGGCACTGAAGCAGCAGCAGCCTTGTGACCAGCACAGGACCTGAAGACACACTTGTCCGAGGCCTGAGGGGGCACCCTGTAGAGGGATCCTTAGGGACCCATGGGAAGAAGGGATCCTGTACCCTCTCTCCAGAGGAAGCCTCAGCCCCTAGCACTCAGAGCTCCTGGACAACCCTGCCTGTACTCTGCTGTTGGCACCCCTGTGCTCCACCCTGGGATGTGCCCTTTGTGGGTCAACCCACCCAGTGTCAGAAGAGAAATGCTGGGAAACTCCCACTAGCAGCCCCAGCTGAAAGCAGAGGGCCATTTTGAGTGCAGCCCAGATTGTGCAGGGATATGAGCCCACCCCGGGGTGGCCGCTAAGCTCTGAGACAGTGACAAGAGCCCAGAGTGGACACCAGACACTGCACTGCCTCTGCTCAGTGGCTTCAGGTGGGGCCTGGTGCAGCCTGGCCTGAGTGCTTGCTGGTGGGGCAGGGCTTCTGGGGGTGGGGACACGGGGCGGGGGGAGGGGTAATTACTGTGGTCCTGAACTGAGTGTGTGCATCAGTATATATAGCACACGTGTACATGTGTGAGTGGTATGAGTATGTACCCATAGAAAGATGTACATGAGTAGGTGGGTGCATGTGAGCCTGTGCATGTGTAGGCGAATGAACGCATGAAGTGGAAGAATGTGGGAAGGTGTATGATTGTGAGTGATCGGTGCACATGAATGTGTGTGAGGGAACTGAGTGCTCAGTGGGATTGGGTGAGTGTGGGCCTCTGGAGGAGGTCAGGTTTAGGGGAGCCAGGGATACCCGCCCATCCTCCACCCTCTACCCTGTACCTGCCCTCCCTCCTCACTCCCGGTCTTCTCAGCACAAATCTGGGCAGGACGACAGGTCAGGCCTGAATCTGGAGCCAGGGGAGAGGCGGAGCTGCCCAGCGCTGATGCTGCCATCTGCTCCCACCAGGCCCTCCGATGGGTCAAGGCGCTGGAGACCTCAGCCCCAGGCGTCCCCACGGGCGGACTCTGGGGAGAAGGGAGCCCAGCGGCCTTCCGGGAGGAGGTGACTTGGGCCGGGCAGGCGGGCGGCGCGCATTCCTGAGCCCTGAGTCAGCGCGGCCGCCCCCTCCGGCCGGGCCCGCCCCCGGCGCGCACGCCCCTCACTCCATGGCATTCCCGGGCGGGCCGGACCGGCGGGCGGGGACTCGGCGCGGGCGCCCTCCCGGCCAGCGGCGGCAGCCCCTCCTCCCTGGAGCCCTCGGGACCCCCCAAGAACCCCCGGCGGCGGCGGCGGTGAGTGAGCGCGACCGGGAGCGCAGGGCTCCGGGGACGGGCGGGTTCCGGGGCAGCGTCCGCCGAGCGCGGGGCGCGTCCTCGGCTCCCCGTGGCCGGAGCTGCTCTGAGCGGCCGGGGCCGTGTCGGGGCCGGGGCCGGGGCTGGGGAGGGATCGTGGCGAGTCTTCGCTGGGACGGCCGGACTTTTCCTCCCGGAGTTTTCCGAGTCGCCCGCCGAGGCGGCCCAGCCCCGGATTCCTCGCCCGGCGCGCCGCAAAAATAGCCCGTGGCCGGATTAGCAGTCCCAGCGGCCTGGCCTGGCCGGACAGCTCGGCTCCAGCCCCCGCCCAACAGCTGAGGGTCCCAGGAGCGGGAGGCTAGAGTCCGGGGGTGCCCCAGGCTCCTCTGAGCTCCCCCCACTACATTTTCCTTCCCGGCCACCACCGGTGGGTGGTGTCTCCAAGTTGAAACTCCAGCTAAAGGCGGGATGGTCCCTGTCCCAGCCGCCCTCACCGATGGGAATAGCAGGAGCCGTGGAGCTGGGGGTGGGGGACTGACTCCATCTTCTACCCCACAACGCTGACTCCCCGATCTGTAAACAGCGAAGCTCCAGGGTGGTCTGGGAGCGACTCCCAAAGACAGACCCTCACTCTGTGTGCAGAGGCCAACAGGGACAGGCCTTCTCCCAGCTGGCGTGACAGCCAGACCCCAGATGCTCAGGGCATTGGCAGAGGGCCTGGCTGGCTGTCATGCTGGGGGCATGTTTGTGGGGCTGGGTGGGGAATGGACAGGGGATCTTCCCTGGCCCCCCAAGTCCTGCTTCCAGTCCAGGTGGTCCCGACCAGAGTTCCTTCTGTGTGTGCCACTTGAGATTGTGAATGTGTGTGTCTGTCTGGGTGGGTGGGGCCTAGGTCTGGAGGCCCTACTCCTATCCTGGGAACTCCCACCCGCCAACGGGACTTCCTGTTGGAGACCGGGAGAAGATTCAAGGATGAAACTGGCTTTTCAGGTTTGACCCAGCTAGATGCCCGGGCAGTCCCAGGCTGAGTTCTCCCCACCCCTGTGGAGCCAACCCCAACCTCCTAGCCCCCACCCCAAGGGTGGGCAGAAGCTGGGGACCTAGCAGCTGGCTGGGGCTCAAGGAGTCCCTGAGGCAGAGCCCCCTGCCACCAGGGGTCATTCTGGGTAAGCTGGGCCCCTTTTCCTGAGAATGGGGCAGGGGCAAATGGAGTGCATGGGAGTCTGGTGGTCCCAGATTGAAGACACTGGGCCTGAGACCCTTTCCCAGCCCTTCCAAGCAGCCTTCACTGGCTGGCTGGCCTCCATTGCACAAACAGGCCTCTGGAGCAGGGTAGGGGGGTTACGGTTGTCCCTCAACCAGCACCTCTCATGAGCTGGCCAGACAAACCCCCACTTTGGGGAACTGACTTTCTAGGGGGCGCTCTTGGTTTAGGGGGAGTCGCCCAGGTCTCTCCTGCCTTTCAGGGACCATCAGGCCCTCCCTAGGATCTTCCCAGCTACAGTCCCTGCCCAGGGCACCCCCAGTTGCTCTCAGCTGTGAGGGCCTCCCCCACACTGGCTCCAGTTCACTCACCTCAGTGTCTGTGCCAGGATCACATTTTGCCTAATGATCGGATTCCTCGGCTTCTCTGCCTGTTTTCTGAGTTGGACGATTTTGGGGGTGACTCTTTCCTCCTTCAACTGAGATGCCCCTGATGGAGCAGGTGGCAAGGGGTCTTAGAGAGGTCTGACAGCTGTCCACAGCCACAAGGCTGAAGAACCCGGGTGGTCTGCCTTGTCTTCTGGGGGTCTGCAGACAGGGTCCCTTCTACCACAGCTCCTGGGCAGACCTGGCCCAAGGCTTTGAACTCCCTTATAGGCTTTGGGACCTCAGGCAGTGACTGGCTTCCCTGAGCCTCAGTTTCCTTATCTGGAAGATGGATACGGAGGACCCCTTCCAGGGGTTAGACAGACCAATGTGATCAGTCAGGATCTGGTTTGAAGAAACTGAGCCAGGCTGCTGAGAACCGAAGCCATTTCTGCTCTGACTTGGTTTCCCTACTGGGGCCTCTCCAGTCCTGTCCTGCTTCTGGTGGGTCCTAGGAGGGGGTTGCGGGGTCGCCTGGGTGCCTGGGCACCCGGGAGCATGTGTGTAGGGTCAGTCAGGGATACCTCTGGAGGGCTCTGACTGGAAACTGGGCTGTCCATCTGTCGTCTGGTCAGACATGTGCATGAGATGTGGGCCTTTCCCACCTCCAGCCTGGGAAAAGTGCTTTCGCCTAACTCCTGGGACCCAGCTAGACTGCAGACTGGGGACTAGAAGTGACCAGCTTACCAGACAGTTTACACCCAGGATCTAGTGTAGCTAAGTCCTTGCTGCCATCCCCTTTCTGACTGTGTGGCTTGGACAGGTGCCCTGACCTGCACTTGGCATCCCCTGATTCCTGGGTGTGTCTGCCATGTCAGCCACTGTCAGACCCACCTGAGTTGGGGGTTTAGTTTTGGTGACCCCTGTGCTACATTTGCTAGCTGAACCTTGGGACAGCACCCCGCCCCCTCCCCAATGCTGGCCCCTTTGTGCACTACCCTCCCAGGTCAGGTCCTCAGGGATTCCTGTGTCTCCAGGCCCTAGGGCAGCTTCCCTCACAGATGGCCTGTAGCAGGAAACCTCTTGTTTTGTCTACTTGTCTAGGGTGATGAGGGGAGGTAGGGAGCCAATGTGTCCTGGAGAGGACCCTGCAAAGGTCTTAGGCCTGCCCTGTTCCACCCTAAACCTAATTTCTTCCACAGAAAAGAAGGGGCTTCACTGGGAGGGTTGAAGAGCACTTCGGGGTTTGCAAAGGGCCTAGCAAATATCATTCTCAGCATGATGCCATTAACAGACAAGGCAGAGAGGCCAGGTGACTCTCCCTTCATTAATTCAGAAGACCTGGATGCTAGGCTGCCAGACAGCTGGCCACCCCCTTCTCAAGGGAGATCTAGGATTGAGCTTCAGATTAGGAGTCAAACAGAAGACTGAGGGTCAGAGAGCAGTGTGTGGGTGGGGATGCTGGAGCAGCCACCTCCCCTGGGATGAGGCTCAGGTGAGCGGAGGACAGTTCTGGGCGGGCGTCCCGGGGTGAGGCCCCTTGCTTCAGCTGACCTTGGCAGCAGGCAGTTCCCTGGGCGGAGCAGAGCCCAGGCTTGATGGTTCTGGTCCTGGGGTTAGTAGTCAACTCTGCCGCCGGTTGTCCCTGCCAGCATGGTCCTGTGAGTGTGCAGGGCAGGCCTGAGCACAGAGGTGGTTGCTGCTCACACCTGAGGATGCAGCTCCGCACTGGCTGTGGCCACTGTCTGTGCCCGGACTGGCCAGAGCTTCTCTCTAGTCTTTTCCCAAACTCGACACCTTTGGAGGGTCCTGTCCTCAGGTGTCCGCAGGGCTGCCCTCTTGTTACATATGCTCTGGTTAGGGCCCTTTCACCCCCCAGCTCGTGCCCCTCAGAGAGTACCAAGTGCCCACAGGCTGCACCAGACACTCTGTAGTGGAGTCAGCTGCTGCCTGTTGTGCCAGGCACTGCTGTGACCCCTGATTTCCGGATGGGAAAGCTGAGGCTTGCTTAGGATTGTAGGTGGTGGAGACACATGGGGCCTGAGCATCAGCCTGGGCTGTACCCAGTGGCCTCCTTGCGTCAGCTCCTGCTTTCTGGCTCTCCCTGCACCTGTGCACGCGGCCAGCTTGATGGGTCCCCAGACATCCCCAGAGCAAAAACCTGAGTTGACAGGACTCTCCACCATCCCCCACCCAGCTCTTCCACACCAGGCTCCGCAGGCAGCCAGAGTGGACTTCACTGTGCATGGCGCCAGTGGCTCCCTTGACCCTCCTCGTCCCTCAGCCTCATTGAGAGTCCTGCCCCCAGTCCCCAAGCTGGTCCTGGGATGCACTGTGGCTTTGGGTGTCTCCTGATGGGGCTGGGCCTGGGCTGGCAGCTGTGATGCTGCTGCAGTGACTCAGATACTGTGTGACCCCAGGCAGTCAGGCCTTCCATGGGCCACGGTTTCCCCATACACTGAGGGGTCAGCGGGGTGGGGGAGACACTGTTTGGATCCCCCCGAGGGGTTTTCTGGGAACAAGAGCCCACTGTGCGCCTGGGGAAGGCCTGGACACTGAGCCACTGTCTCTGGGAGGGCAGTGTGCCGCTCCCTGGCCAGACTCTTTGTCCAGCCTGGGCCAGCCTCTCCCCACGCCTACTCCGGCTCTTCCTTTGTCAATCCCACCCACTCGAGGCCCAGATGGGGATCTAGGCACAGGGGTGGGGCAGGCCGGAACACCCAGCACTGCCCACCCGCAGGACCTGTAACTGAGTGGGTTCTCAGGTTCCCTTCTGCCTGCACTCCTAGCACAGGAGTGGTTTTTGTGGAGGTGGGGGAACCCCAGGAGACCTGGATGTACAGGCATGGCGGCTGGTGCCTCCCTCATGAGCTGAGTACTCTACTGCCTCCTGGGGCTGCCTGTGGGCCCCGGCTGAGACAGTAGTGGGAGGTCAGGTTCCCCGTACACGCTCACAGCTCTCAGCTCTTCTCACCCTCTAACTGTTCCTGCTCGCACCGGCTTATGCCAGACAGCTTCTCCCAGAGCCAGCTGAGGGGTCATCTTGAGGAATCCCCCATTACCCCAGGTTAGGGACCGGATGGCCTGTGTTCTTCAGTGATCAGTTTACCCATTGGTGGCTTCAGACCAGGCTGGTCCTGAGCACTGTGGAACCAGCAGTGACAGGACAGTGGCCCATACACATGTGAATGAACTCCTGTCCTGTGCTGTACCCGGAGATCCAGGCCAAGGACCACCTCTGGGGAGCGGGGCAGCCTGAGGCTGCAGGTCCTGCAACGCAGGTGAGGTTGGGCAGAGCGCATTTGCGGGGCTCTGCGATGGGAGGGAGTCAGGTGTGAGGAGCGGTGGAGAGCAGGAGCCATGGGAGTCATGGATGTATGTGAGCCCATCAGCTGGCAAAGGTCTCTGTTGGCAAAAGTTATTCACACTCCTGAGTGAAGAACCAGCTGGATGTCGCCTAGTGCCGCTGGGCACAGGTGGAGACTCCTGGAGAGGCTGGACCCCTGGATTCAGCCTGCTGATTCATGGCAGTGGCCCCAGTCTCTACTCTGGGCCCTGCTCCTCTCTGGCCCCTATAATGGCCTCACTAAGAGCAGTCGTCCGTTTTCTGGGTGAGAACATGCTGGGGGTGTACTCAGAATGCTGTCCCAGCACTGTGGGTTCCCGAAGCCCCTTCCCGAGCACGACCTGCCTTCCCAGCATGCCTGACACTGTCTGAAATTCCACCCCTAGTGTCTGAGACTCAGAGGTGGCCCCGCCTGACTATTCCTTACTAGCAGGGTGATGGTGCTGCAGTCCATATGCTCTGCGGAGAGAGGGCTGGGGGATGATGAGGAAATTGAGCTGTGACCCCTTCACACTGTGGCTGGGCCGTATCCAGGACACGCAGGTCTGCGCTGGGTTTGGGCCATGCGTGAGATGCAGAGGGGTCTCCTGGTGCTGTTCCCAGAGGGATCTTGACCCACCCAGTTCTCAGGATGCCTTCCTGTCTGACCCTGTTGCACTCTGGGGCTCTGCATGGGCGAGGAGCCCTGGAGGGATTCCCAGTGATGTGGAGGCAAGCTGCCGCCCTTGGCTCTTGCCCCTGATTCCAGGCCATGTATGGGCCAGGGACAGGAACTCAGCCTTAGGGGGCCATGTGGATGGAACGACCCCTGGGCACCATGTCTGGGGAGTGCCCCAAAGCTTTGCCCCCCAACTCTCACCTGGGACCTGAAGTGCACAGTCAGCTCAGATCAGGGGCTGGAGTGTGAGGGGTAGGATAGGAGCCAACAGAAGGCATCCCTGAAGGACCCCCTCCCACCTGTGTCCTGGTCCATGTAGGACCCGTAGGAGCTGTGAGCAGCATTCCCAGCCTTTCCCTGGTAGTGAGGGTCGGAAGAAGCCGTGAGCTCTGTCCCAGGCCTGTCCCTGGTTGGCATGAGACCATCAGGAACTGTGAACAGCACCCTGGGCTGTCTAATTGTGCTACCCTCCATATATGACCTTGAGCAAGGCAAGCCTGTGTTCTCCTGGCCTCAGTTTCCCTATTTGTACAGCATAGGTGAGACTTCCCTTCAATCAGTTGAGAGTGAGACCTGTGAGTGAAAGCCATTTCTGGGGCCTTAGTGGGTGGGTTGCAGACCCTGCAGCTCCGAGCCTGTCAGAGGCTGCAGCTCCTTAAAGAGGCTGAGGAATTTGGGGTTTTCTGTCCAAAATTGCTTCAGGAAGCTCCGGCCAGCCCCCTGCTATCTGTCTCATGTCATCCTCTGGGGCCCTTCTCAACTTGGGTCTCCACTGGAATTCCTGTGTGGTCCCCCTGGGTTGGGGACAGCTGCAGGTCTGCCAGGAAGGTGTAAGGGGGAAATGGAGTCATAGTCACACGGCCAGGCAGTGGTGGCCAGAATCGAACCCTGGTCTTTCTGCCCTGGGGCCTTCCCCTGGGCTCTGGCACGGTGCCTGGGATGCTCATGGTGGAGCTGACCACGCAATGCCCGGCAGCCCCAGCACCGAGCAGCTTCACTGCTGTTTCTGGGCACGTGCTGCCACCTGGTGGTCACTATGGCGTCTGCGCCCAGGTGATTTCTGGAAAGTCATTTGTGCACGGGAGCCTGGGCCACCAGCTGCTGCTCTGTCACCCTCTTTCCTGAATGTGGTGACTCTATGCAGTGGACCGATCACACACCCCTTACAGGCTGTCACGTGCATAGTGGGCCCTTTGTCTCTGGAGTGGAAGTTTTGGTGGGTAAGAGGGTGAGGCCTGGGTAAGACAGGTCTGAGATTTGCCCTGGGCACAGACTAGGGTGAGCCCCATGTCAGTAAGGGCTTGTGTGTGGAAAGCCCTGGAACCCCAGCTGTGCTCACTCCCCTCCTTCAAACCTTTGCTCAGATGTCACTCCACAGTGAGGCCTCACTGCCCCCTGTCAAGCAACCCTAGTTTGTTTTCTTTCCCCCATCACGCTTAGCATCTTTTAACCAGTACATTCACTTATTTAAAAAGTTTATTGTCTAGACTATAAGCTCCAGGAGGGCAAGGATTTTGTCTCGTTTCTCCACCAATGTGCCTCAAGCACCTAGAGCAGTATCCTGATCACAGTGGGTGCTCAGATAGTTGTCCCATGGACTTATGTTGTCTGAGGACCTAGGATGTGCCCAGCACTGTCTGTTGGAGTGAACAAGGCTGGCACAGAGCAAGTCAGTGCTGAGCACATAGTAGGGCTCTGACAATGGGGGACATGAGCACCACAGTTGGGCTTATCACTGCTTTTCCCTCCTGGGTCTGGGCACAATGAATCTTCAGCTGTCAGCGTTGTCATTATTGAATAACACACCATGCCCTGCAGGCCTGCCTTGCTCTGCCAGGAACCATGAGTGAGGCCCGCAGGGACAGCACGAGCAGCCTGCAGCGCAAGAAGCCACCATGGCTAAAGCTGGACATTCCCTCTGCGGTGCCCCCGACAGCAGAAGAGCCCAGCTTCCTGCAGGTAGGTCCTGGCCAGCAGGGACTGTGGGTGCCCCCTGTCCAATACCCTCACCATGACCCTGTTGCCCAGCCCCTGAGGCGACAGGCTTTCCTGAGGAGTGTGAGTATGCCAGCCGAGACAGCCCACATCTCTTCGCCCCACCATGAGCTCCGGCGGTCGGTGCTGCAGCGCCAGACGTCCATCACACAGACCATCCGCAGGTACCAACGCTTCCCAACTGCTCCACGGGGTGGGAGCTGGGGGCTGGCGGGACAGAGGCAGGTACACTGAGGATGGGAATGAGAACAAGGGGCCCTCCTGTCTCAGCTTCCTCCTCCATCTTGGTCCCCACATCCCCTTGCCCTCCTCCTGTTCTGGAGACTGACCGCTCTCACCCCACTACCCTGCTCCACTCCCTTCTCTTCAGCACTCACTCTCTCCTTCTCTGTCTCCACCACCCGGATGCTCTGGCCTCTTAGCAGCCGACAAGTACACTTCGGCCGTGTCCACACTCTACCCCTCTTGGGTCCCTGGGCTGCCCGCAGGGCCTTCCCGCAGCGCCAGTCTGTCTCTTGGTCCCTGCTCAGGTATCTCATACAGGTCAGGAGCGTGTTGGTGTTTTCTGGTATGTGCTTGGCATGTGGCCTCTTGGGAGCTGCCAGCGTGGTTGGCATTCCCTGGGGCTCCTAACGGCAGGTGCTGGCAGTGTTTTTGTTTGCATGTCCAAGTGCTGTGGACAGCCTGCCTGGGCCTGTAAGCACCTGCTGTCTGAGCTCTGTGGTGTCCTGGGGCCAAGCTCTCTTGGGTTGAGCTCTCCGCTCCCTCTCTGGGACTCAGTGTCTCCCCTCAACTGCCCCTCAGGGATGGTGGGGTTAGGGCCTCTGTGAAGCACTCAGCTGGGCAGGGCCTGCCAGCTGTGGTCTAGTGGGAACTTGAAGTTGGCTAACAGTTCAGGGGGTGGCTGGAACCCACTCATCCTCTTATTAGACCTTGCCCACCCAGACCCTGGCCCCTGGATTGACTGCAGGCCTGGGGCAGGGCATGCCGCCCCAGAGGAGGGCCTTTGAAGTCCCCTGCCTGGGAGGGGGCGATCTGGCTGCCCCTTGCTGAGTCCCTGCCATGCCAGGGGGACCGCTGACTGGTTTGGAGTGAGCAAGGACAGTGACAGCACCCAGAAATGGCAGCGCAAGAGCATCCGTCACTGCAGCCAGCGCTACGGAAAGCTGAAGCCCCAGGTCCTCCGGGAGCTGGACCTGCCCAGCCAGGACAACGTGTCGCTGACCAGCACCGAGACGCCACCCCCACTGTATGTGGGGCCATGCCAGCTGGGCATGCAGAAGGTATGCCTGCCTCTTGCTGCCTCCTGCAGGCCCCTCCTTCTGCTCCCAGGGGCTGGGGCTGCAGACACAGCTAGCCTGAGCAGAAGGGACTCTTTGGGAGTTCACAGTCTTGAAGGGCAGTCAGACAGCCTGCCCGTGAAGGCACCTGGAACAGTCTCTGGGAAGGGGTACCTTGGGATGGGGACATGGTCTTGGGATTGCACCAGGGGACCAGTGTCTGGATGGGGGAGCATTCCAGGCAGGATCTCTAGGTGCTGTGGGGTGGGAGTGGTGCCCATACAGCTGTCCAGGGGCCCATGAGGAGTCAGGAGCAGTAGTCACACTGTCTGTGCAAGGCCTCTGTGTGTCTGGGTGAGCTAGGAGCCCCCATGGTCCTGACTTCAGCATCTCCTCCCCTCCTCCAGATCATAGACCCCCTGGCCCGTGGCCGGGCCTTCCGTGTGGCAGATGACACTGCAGAAGGCCTGAGTGCCCCTCACACTCCCGTCACACCGGGTGCTGCCTCCCTCTGCTCCTTCTCCAGCTCCCGCTCCGGTTTCCACCGGCTCCCGCGGCGGCGCAAGCGAGAGTCGGTGGCCAAGATGAGCTTCCGGGCGGCTGCAGCACTGATGAAAGTGGGTGCAGGGGCGAAAGGTGGGGGTGGGGGCCGAGCCAGCAGTCGGGGCTCATGCTCACTTCCCCTCCCCAGGGCCGCTCTGTTAGGGATGGCACCTTGCGCCGGGCACAGCGCCGAAGCTTCACTCCAGCTAGCTTTCTGGAGGAGGACACAACTGATTTCCCCGATGAGCTGGACACATCCTTCTTTGCCCGGGTAAGAAGCGCCCAGGGCGTCACCCCCCGTCCCTGTTCCCTTCTCCCTGCGTCCACCCTGACCTCATGTGTTTGCTCAGGAAGGTATCCTCCATGAAGAGCTCTCCACATACCCGGACGAAGTTTTTGAGTCCCCATCGGAGGCAGCACTAAAGGACTGGGAGAAGGCACCGGAGCAGGCGGACCTCACCGGCGGGGCCCTGGACCGCAGCGAGCTTGAGCGTAGCCATCTGATGCTGTGAGTGCCGCAGGCAGGGAAGGGGGCCAGAGACAGACCCGGGGGCCCCTCAGGAACAGCTGAGCGAGTATCGCATTCACCTCTGTGGGCGATGGAAGGGGTAGCCTCATGGACTGATGAACTGGGAACTCACTGGCCACCGGGGCTGGGAGACCCAGGGCTGGGCATGGCCCCAGCCTCATGGCTAGCCTGTGAATGGGACAGCAATCTTAGAGCCCAGGGGCTGGACAGAATCCAACGGGGAGGCGGAGGTGACAGAGGTGATACTTGCTGAGTTGCAGAACTCAGTGGGCCCCGGTTCCGGCTCCCTGCCATCCCCGGAGGCGCGCAGTGTTGGGGGCAAGGAGGAGGCAGATGCTGGGCAACTTGCCCAGCATCTTCACCAGGATAGAGACAGGGGGCCCTGGTACCCCCTGGGAGGGACGGCAGCAGCTTGGGGGGCTGGGGCGGGGATGAACGCCGGCTCCCTCCAGGCCCCTGGAGCGAGGCTGGCGGAAGCAGAAGGAGGGCGCCGCAGCCCCGCAGCCCAAGGTGCGGCTCCGACAGGAGGTGGTGAGCACCGCCGGGCCGCGGCGGGGCCAGCGCATCGCGGTGCCGGTGCGCAAGCTCTTCGCCCGGGAGAAGCGGCCGTATGGGCTGGGCATGGTGGGACGGCTCACCAACCGCACCTACCGCAAGCGCATCGACAGCTTTGTCAAGCGCCAGATCGAGGACATGGACGACCACAGGTAGGCGTGGCAGGCAAGGCCTGGGTTGGCATGGAGGCTCCTGGGGGAGGGTGGGGCTCCGGGTTGGGGTTGAGGCCGCTGCTGACGCTCCACCCCGCAGGCCCTTCTTCACCTACTGGCTTACCTTCGTGCACTCGCTCGTCACCATTCTAGCCGTGTGCATCTATGGCATCGCGCCAGTGGGCTTCTCGCAGCATGAAACGGTGGACTCGGTGAGCCCCTGCGCCTTTGCTGGGCCCAGACAGGTGGAGTCTGGGCACTGGACCCCCTCCCGCCCCGCTCTGGGAGGAGAGGGCCCGAGTCGGGCCGTCTGATCCCGCTCCCCAACCTCCCAGGTGCTGCGGAACCGCGGGGTCTACGAGAACGTCAAGTACGTGCAGCAGGAGAACTTCTGGATCGGGCCCAGCTCGGTGAGGGCGGGGTTGGGGCGGGGCCGGCGGGGGCGGGACGTGGAGGTGCCCGGCGGGCAGGAGGCCCCGACTGAAGCTGCTTGTCTCCATCGCCCGCAGGAGGCCCTCATCCACCTGGGCGCCAAGTTTTCGCCCTGCATGCGCCAGGACCCGCAGGTGCACAGCTTCATTCGCTCAGCTCGTGAGCGCGAGAAGCACTCGGCCTGCTGCGTGCGCAACGACAGGTCGGGCTGCGTACAGACCTCGGAGGAGGAGTGCTCGGTGCGTTTCCCGCCCTGGACTCCCACCCTCGTCTGCCTCGTGGTCGCTCTTTCCTTCAGATTTCAGATAGACTCAGCAAAGCGATCCTTCGCCCTCGTTCCTGGCACATCCCGCCGTCCCTATGTGCAAGGCCTTTCTTGTCATATTCATTCCTCCTTATCCCCACCCTCCCCCATCTCCAGCTCCTGGCTCCAGAGACCATCACCTGATTTGGTCTTTTGATTTGGGGGCACTCTTCAAGGATGTGTCTTAAAGCTTACATAAGTGGTATTGGCCTCTTTTCTACTAAGCAATTTTTTGAAAAAGATTCATCCAAACTTTAATCACATCATCTTATATGGGGATGCCGTAGTCCATACCAGTTCCCTGATTTAGGACAGAGGTTGTTTCTGATTTTCAGCTAACAGGAATTATGCTGTTGAACTCCTTCTAAGAGTCTTTTCCATCATGCATGTGTATCTCAAGAGTGGGGGTGACTTGTAGAAGCCGAGGGAAGAGCTCAGTGGTTTTGCCTTTGACTCCTGACTCCCTGAGTGCCCCTCATTGCCCTGACCCAACTGGACCTGACCCTGTGTCCCCCTCCCACAGTCCACGCTGGCAGTGTGGGTGAAATGGCCCATCCATCCCAGCGCCCCAGAGCTTGCCGGCCACAAGAGACAGTTTGGCTCTGTCTGCCACCAGGATCCCAGGTTAGTCCCGCCGGCAGCTCTCTCACCTGCCTTTGTCCACACCTTCCCCGGGGGGCATGGTGCAGAGGGTGTAGGGGCTCCCCTTGTTGGGGACTTAGCTGGAAGGGTGCCAATGCTAGGGGCTCGAAGCAGGGCCTGACCACATACTTGGCTTGTGCAGGGTATGTGATGAGCCCTCCTCTGAAGACCCCCATGAGTGGCCAGAAGATATCACCAAGTGGCCGGTGAGCTGCAGTGGGGGGTGGTTAGGGAATCCTCCTTGTCATGTGGGGAGAATGCCACACCCCACCCACTGGCGATGCCAGAGATTCCCATCATGGGACCACCTCACGTTTTCAGATGCTGTGCACCTGGCCTTTGCACAGCCTGTCCATCAACCAACGCCTGCCCCTCTGAGCAAGTAGATCAAGAGAACTAGATGGAGACTTGAAAGGTCAAGTGACATGATTCCAGTTTGATAGAGACTCAGAGTGTGGTGGCTTGAAGTCAAGGAAGCCACACCATTTTCTACTTTATGAGCCCGCCCATCTTTGCCTCTACCCCCAAACATGGTGTGGGGCCAAAGGTTGGGGGAGGCCCTGACCCAGCTCGTCCCCATTTGTGACCCAGATCTGCACCAAAAACAGCGCCGGGAACCACACTAACCATCCCCATATGGACTGTGTCATCACAGGACGGCCCTGCTGCATTGGCACCAAGGGCAGGTAGGTGTGCGTGTGAGCGAGTGCAGCTGGTCTCTGGGCTCAGAGCATCGCCCTAGGGCTGTGCCTTCTCCCTAACTAAACCCTGAAATAACTCAGTATACCAAGGGTGTGGGGTTAGAGGGGGTCTGGACTTCTTCGGGGCCAACAAAAGTGGGTAGGTGCGGCTGAAACTTTCCCTGGATGTCAGCAATCCCCCTCGGCAAGGCAGCAGCCTCCGAACCCCGGCCTGCCTTTCTAGGTGTGAGATCACCTCCCGGGAGTACTGTGACTTCATGAGGGGCTACTTCCATGAGGAGGCCACGCTCTGCTCTCAGGTAGGTGTCCGGAGTGTCCATCTTTCCCCGCCCCCAGCTGCTGTGAGTGCTGATATGCTGCTCTGCACAGGTGCACTGCATGGATGATGTGTGTGGGCTCCTGCCTTTCCTCAACCCCGAGGTGCCTGACCAGTTCTACCGCCTGTGGCTGTCCCTCTTCCTGCACGCCGGGCAAGTGACACTGTGGGCTGGGTGGGGGGACTCAGGGCCCCCAGGATTGGCTGGCTGGGGGTGGCAGAGAGGTCACTTCCCTGCTGAATGTCTCCCAACGCCCACCTGCCACTGACTACAGGATCCTGCACTGCCTGGTGTCCATCTGCTTCCAGATGACCGTCCTGCGGGACCTGGAGAAGCTGGCAGGCTGGCACCGCATAGCCATCATCTACCTGCTGAGTGGTGTCACCGGCAACCTGGCCAGTGCCATCTTCCTGCCGTACCGAGCAGAGGTAAGGCTGGCCCTCGGGGTGGGGATCCTCCGTGTGCACCTGCAGCCTGCTGTGAACCTGTCCATATGGAGCACTGTCTGGGAGCATCTCCAGTTGGGTCCTCGGTCCCAATATGCTCTGGGCCATGGGAAGTGGGGCACAAAGATGAGGCCTGGGGTCCAGGGGGCCTGCCCAGCCCCACAGCCTTATAGCTACCCCAACCATCCCCCAGGTGGGTCCGGCTGGCTCCCAGTTTGGCATCCTGGCCTGCCTCTTTGTGGAGCTCTTCCAGAGCTGGCAGATCCTGGCGCGGCCCTGGCGTGCCTTCTTCAAGCTGCTGGCTGTGGTGCTCTTCCTCTTCACCTTTGGACTGCTGCCCTGGATCGACAACTTTGCCCACATCTCGGGGTTCATCAGTGGCCTCTTCCTCTCCTTCGCCTTCTTGCCCTACATCAGCTTTGGCAAGTTCGACCTGTACCGGAAACGCTGCCAGATCATCATCTTTCAGGTGGTCTTCCTGGGCCTCCTGGCTGGCCTGGTGGTCCTCTTCTACTTCTATCCTGTCCGCTGTGAGTGGTGCGAGTTCCTCACTTGCATCCCCTTCACTGACAAGTTCTGCGAGAAGTACGAACTGGACGCTCAGCTCCACTGAGCTGGCTGCGGGCTCCAGGGGTCGTGTGCTCCAGCAGGCCAGAGCCAGACACGACAACTCTGAGCCTCACAGGCTTACAGGAGTCACCTGCTCCATGCGGGGACTGGCCTGTTTCCTGAACACAGACCTCTTTCTTGTGCCTTGTTCACTTCTGTTGAACCCCTTGTACTGCTGGGCATTTATTATACTACTTCCCGTGATAACCTTCTAACTTGTTTCTTGACGACCACCTCATGTGGCCAATAAATGGACTGGGAGCGTTTTAGCTGCCATTAACTTGACCAGGGCTTCCCCTTCCTTCTTTGTTTCTGGCTGGGAGCTGTGGAGGGGCCTGCAGCCAACTCACTGGGCAGGGAACTGAGTGTCAGATACAGTCAACAGGCTCTTTTGCTTCCCAGTGAAATCCTTCAGCCAGGCACGTGCACCTTGCTCTTTCTCCTTAGAGTGCCTGGTAGCCGACGCTGGGACAAGGACCTAGGGATGTGCTGTCACACCCTCCCCACGTGCTGGGAAACACCCAGCCCCTACCCTCAGCAGCTCCAATTTCCACCCCGCACTACCTCCCTGTCCACTGAATCTGCTGAAGGCACTGCTACAGGCGAACCCTAAAGGCTGACGCTGGAGGGCCCACACATAGCCGTGCTGTGCTCGCTGCCACCTGCCACTGTGAGCTCCAGGACGCAGACCCTAAAGCCACTCTGCTTTTATTTCCTCCTTGCTGTGGAGATCATGGTAACATAGCTGTGTGGTTTGGGGAGTGGTGTGGCCACAAGGCTTTGGTGGTGTGACATCTTGGACTACAGGACTCACTTGTACCAATTCTCTCCCCTTAACTTACCTCTGTGATGGGGCAACCTCAGTCTTTGCTACCCAGGGTACTGTGGCTTTTGACTTTTAGAAGCACACAGGTTTATTTTATACACAGGGCCAGGCCGTGGCTCTGCCACGTGACCAGGGTCTTTGGACCCAAGGAGAGGTCAGTCTCAGGCCAAGTACATGAAAGAAGGGAGCACTGGCTCACCCTGTCCTAGTCCTGAGGGCCCCCAGGTTCATGCTGACAGTTCCTGTTGGGTGCCTTTCTGTGAAAGAGGCACAATGACTCGAGGATCTGATCCTGCTGGGAAAAAGCTCAGCCACCAGTGATAAAGAGAGTTGTCCTGTCTGGAGGCTCACTTTTGCCTCAGCTTTTTGATGAAGGAAACCTCATCTCGATTCCGGATGCCATAACTGAAAAAGAAGGAAAGGCCTAAAGCACCTGCCCTACAGAAGGACACATCTGTGACTCCCCTCCTGAGGCTTGTGGGGGGCCATGAAGAAACAACAGAGGGGAGGCATGTGGCCTCTGGGAAGGCCAGGAAGTGGTAGTGGCCATCCTCTCACAGACCCAGAAGCACTCTGACTCACAAGTCCCTAGGGCAGGGAACTGAGTGTCAGATAGAGTCAGAGCCTTTCGCCTCCATGCCCACTCTGATTTCCTCCCTCCTGGCACTGTGTAGCCCTAAGCTGCCACTGGTGGGAAGCAGCAAGGCCCCTCCAGTGCCCTCTGCCTGCCATTCTCCTAGTGGGGAGGGCCCCAAGGAAGCTCCTTGGAGGAGGGTGTTACCTCCAGAGAGGGAGCCGCAGCCCTCTGGCAGAGCACGGGGGACTAGGGGGCAACAGAACAGCTGTCCCCCACAGCTCAAGATGTGGCCGGCACTTACTCTCGGAGCTTCTTTTTATCTTCTGTGAGTTTCTCTCCTGCAGAGGTCAGATGGTACGTCCTCCACACATAAGACCTGCAAGAGGGGAACGCAGGTAAACCACACGCCCTGAGCAGGGTGAGCTGAGTGGCTGTGCATGGCGTGGGCTTGAGGCATTCAGCCCTATGGGACCTGGGGCAGGTGTCCTCCCTACCTGGGCTGTTCTGTACAATGTGCAAACTGGCAGCTGCAAGGAGGCTCTGTTCTCAGAGGGCTGTATGGGGCGGCTTGGACAAACACACCTTGCTAATGCAATAGGTGACAGTGTTGAGACTCAGTGAACAGGACAGTTGATCCAATAGGAGAGCGAGGGCTGCCAGCACCCAGGTGAGAAGGGGATGGTAGCCACTACAGATGTACCATCCATAACTAGGGAGGCCACTTCCAGACACACTGGAAATGCCCGACGGGGTCCCCAAGTGAGGATATCCAGCAGCTTGGATGGGGTGATGGCGATGAAAGCAGTATGTTAGGGATGGCCGAGGCAGGAGTCCCAGGCACAGAAGGACCTGCACTGTCTGAACTCTTGTGACAGGGAGCTCATCACTTCAGTGGTGCTGTACTCATGCTGAGTTGAGAGCTGTTTCCAGGTGGTGCCTGGTGACGGTGCCAAGAACAGCCCTAGCCCCAGGAAGGGCTATAATGAAGGGATTGTCGTTCCACTTACCAGCTGATGTGCTGAATGCCCCCTTCTCGCTCCTGCTTGAGCTGCACGTATCTCTGGATGGCCTTCTTCAGGTCCAGGACGGTGGCACTCTGCACTACAACCACAGCTGCAACCACGGACACAGATGGGAGAAGATCCACAGTAAGAACCCAAAGCCATAGCCTCCAACGGCAGGAAAGGAACCCGGAAGCTCTGTGCACAGGGCAGGTTTGTGGTTGCCCCAGTACCTCTGGGCATGGCCTGTGAGTTTCGGAGCAGGCTGACCAGCACTGTTACATTTTGCTGCTGTGAAAGCCTGGACCACATAACCTGAAGGGAGGAGGGCACACTTACGCATTACTTCTCCATCCATCTTGCACACTCGGACCGTCATTGCCTGGCCATATTCTAGGGCTATTTGGGAGTTGACTTCTTCCAAAGTAACCTAGAAAAGACCAAGGGCAGAAGTGGGAACCCTGGCTGTCTTTACAACAACAAAGAACAAGCTGACAGTGGCCAAAAAGTGGTGCTCCATTTTACGAAGGGCAAGGAAGGGTACTTGCATATATGTTAGGGTTTCCCAATTCATCAGAGCCCCAATCTCATGTTCCACTCACATTTTAATGTCCAAAGTGGACAGAGTCTCTGGGGGAAAGAGGTGCTAAAAAACAGGCAAGAGAATAAACTCACATGAGGATCCGTCCCCAGGGGTGGGTGGGGGCCTGTCAGTTCACCCTGAGTATCCCTGATCATCAGGACCCAGGCCAGGGCCCAGGACTGAGTAAGGCAGGTGTACACAAAAAACGGTAATAACAAATACTTTAATACAACATTTAAGAAATACAAGGCAATTAAAATATCCATGATGAGCAAAATATAAAACATTTAAAATTGGCCAGGTGCGGTGGTTCACGCCTGTAATCCCAGCACTTGGGAGGCCGAGGCCAGCGGATCACTAGATCAGGAGATCGAGACCATCCTGGCCAACATGGTGAAACCCCGTCCCCACTAAAATACAAAAAATTAGCCGGGCGTTGTGGCGCGTTCCTGTAGTGAACCCCGGAGTGGGAGGTTGCAGTGAGCCAAGATCGCACCACTACACTCCAGCCTGGCGACAAATCAAGACTCAGTCTCAAATAAATAAATAAATAAATAAATAAAAAGTATGGTGCCAAAGCATATTGACGCTTGAGGCAAATGGAACTAAGTTTTTTCGTTTATCGTAGGGTTTTTTTTTTTTTGCATCACCTTTGACTTTTAAAGCTATTACAGGCCGAGTGGGTGGCTCACACCTATAATCCCAGCTTTTTGGGAGGCTGAGGTAGGAGAATCGCCTGAGCCCAGGAGTTTGACACCAGCCTGGGCAACATAGTGGGACTCCCTCTGTACAAAAAATTTAAAAATTAGCCGGGTGTGGTGGGCGCATCTGTGGTCCCAATTACTCCGGAGGCTGAGGTGGGAGGATGGCTTGAGCTCAGGAGGTGCAGGCTGCAGTGAGCCAAGATCGCGCCACTGCACTCCAGCCTGGGCGACAGAGCAAGACCCTGTCCCCCCAGCCCCCTAAATACAATTACATTAAAATGTCATTTAATGTCACTCACTAATGAGGTTTTTGGTTCCTCTTTAAACTTCGCGCCGCAGGCGAGTGCGCCCGGCCAAGGTAAAGACCCTTGTTTACGCCCAGAGGCGCCTTCCTCAGCCTCGGGCCGCAGCCTCCCACCAGCACCTTCAGAGGCTGCGCGCGCCCGGACGCCCGGCCCCCGGGGAACGACTCCCGCCCCCCGGTCCCCGCCCGCACACACCTGGATCGGCAGATCGCAGAGCAGCGGGTCCTGCACCACCATAGCCAGACCTTCCTGGAACACGTCCATGGCCTCGGAGTGCGGCAGCGCCTCTTCTTCGTCCTCATCTTCCTCTTGCGCCTCGGACCCACCCGCGGCCTCCATCTCCTCCAGGGCCGCACCTCTCAGCCGGTCTCTGCCGGCACTTCCAGTACGCACTAGGGAGGCCAAGCGCGCACGCGCAGGTACTGCGGCCGGTCCCAGCGAGGCCGCCCAGCCATTGGTGCGCCGACGGGTGGGGCGGCTGCAGTGACCAATGACAAGAGCGAGACGGCCAGCAGGGAGCGCAGAATCGCCCTGTCTATTGGTTGGTGGGCGGGGCGAGGCGGCCGCCAGGACCAATGTAAGCTCGAGGCGGGCGGCGCGTCGGCGCTGAGCGGCAGTGGGAGCTGCGGGTGGTTGGCGCCTGCGGAGTTCGAGACCATGCTGCTGTTCTGCCCCGGCTGCGGGAACGGGCTGATCGTGGAGGAGGGACAACGCTGCCACCGCTTCGCCTGCAACACGTGCCCCTACGTGCACAACATCACCCGCAAGGTGGGACCCGAAGGCCGGCGCTGGGCCGCGGGCGCCTCTCGCAGGCCTTCCCCTTCCTCCGACTGCGGCGCCATCGCCGCCAGCCCCGGCGTCTGCCTCTGTCCGCTCTTTCTCGCGCCCCCTTCCGGTCTGCAGCAGATCTGTGGGCTCTTTCTGTGGGCTCCAGTACACTCAGAAAGCCCCACCGTTTCCCGCCTCCCTGGGTTCCTGCTCCCACGCTTGCGCCCTCCTCTGCGTTCACAGCAGCGGCCACGGCGATTCCCTTAAAGCTGAGGCACATCGGTCCGTGCTGTGCGCAGAAACCTTCGGCCGTTCCCCAGCTCCTGCAGACGAAAAGCCGGAGTTCTTCCAGGGCCTACCATGTTCAGACACTGACCCCCTCCCCGACTTGCTTCTCCGATTTCAAGTCCTATTGCCCTTTGCCCCATCAACACCAGCCTCCTGGACGATCTCTCATTGTGCACATGGCGCTCACAGGGCCTTTGCACTTACTGTTGCTAACTTCGCTCTTCCCCTAGATAGCCACCTTACTCGTTGGTCTTGTCTTTACCGTATTTTAAATTGCAGCCCCTCCGTCCAACGTATCCTCCTTCCCTTTGTAATTGTTTCCACAGGGCTTGTTACCTTCGAATATATTACGTAATGTATCGCGTGCTTTGTTTATTAATAGTAGGACCTGGCCGGGCGCGGTGGCCCACGCCTCTAATCCCAGCACTTTGGGAGGCCGAGGCGGGTGTATCACTTGAGGTTAGGAGTTCGAGACCAGCCTGACTGACATGATGAAACCCCATCTCTACTAAAAATACAAAAATTAGCCGGGCATGGTGGCAGGCGCCTGTAATCCCAGCTATTCGGGAGGCCGAGGCAGGAGAATCGCTTGAACTTGGGCGGCGGAGGTTTCAGTGAGCCAAGATCGCGCCACTGCACTCCAGCCTGGGCAACAAGAGTGAAACTCCGTTTCAAAAAAAAGAAAAAAAGGCCGGGCGCGGTGGCTCAAGCCTGTAATCCCAGCACTTTGGGAGGCCGAGACGGGCGGATCACGAGGTCAGGAGATCGAGACCATCCTGGCTGACACGGTGAAACCCCGTCTCTACTAAAAAATACAAAAAAACTAGCCGGGCGAGGTGGCGGGTGCCTGTAGTCCCAGCTACTCGGGAGGCTGAGGCAGGAGAATGGCAAGAACCCGGGAGGCGGAGCTTGCAGTGAGCCAAGATCACGCCACTGCACTCCAGCCTGGGCGGCAGAGCGAGACTCTGTCTCAAAAAAAAAAAAAAGAAAAAAAAAGTAGGACCTAAGGTCTAGGAGGGCAGAGTTTTTCCGTTTTGTTCCCTTCTATGTTATATTCTGAACAACTAAAATGAAACCTAGAATATAGTAGGTGTTCAGTAAGCAGATGATGCATGCTTTATTATAACTTGTTGTTTTCCTTTGATAATACATATTTTTCTTTTTACTTTTTAGAATACTTTTACTTTTTTTTTTTTTTTTTTGAGACGGAGTCTCCCTCTGTCGCCCAGGCTGGAGTACAGTGGCGCCATCTCGGTTCACTGCAAGCTTCGCCTCCCGTGTTCACGCCATTCTCCTGCCTCAGCCTCCCTAGTAGCTGGGACTATAGGCGCCCACCACCACGCCCGGCTAATTTTTAATATTTTTAGTAGAGACAGGGTTTCACCGTGTTAGCCAGGATGGTCTCCATCTCCTGACCTTGTGATCCGCCCGCCTCGGCCTCCCAAAGTGCTGGGATTACAGGTGTGAGCCACCATGCCTGGCCAATTTTTTTTTTGTTTTTAGTAGACAGGCTTTCCCCGTGTATTAGCCAGGATGGTCTCCATCTCCTGACCTTGTGATCCGCCCGCCTCGGCCTCCCAAAGTGCTGGGATTACAGGCGTGAGCCACCATGCCTGGCCAATTTTTTTTTTGTTTTTAGTAGACAGGCTTTCCCCGTGTATTAGCCAGGATGGTCTCCATCTCCTGACCTTGTGATCCGCCCGCCTCGGCCTCCCAAAGTGCTGGGATTACAGGCTCCTGCCACCACCCCCCAGCTAATTTTTGTATTTTTGGTAAAGACGGGGTTTCACCACGGTGACCAGGCTGGTCTCGAACTCCTGACCTCAAGTGATCCACTTGCCTTGGTCTCCCAAAGTGCTGGGATTACAGGCATGAGCCACGACGTCTGGCCAGAATACCTTTATTTTTAGAAGTTAGAATATGTTGGTGCTACCTCAGTCTTAATGTTTGCATGCTACTCCATTTTGTACTGTGTTGTGGGAGTTTGGAGTTGGAAACTGTGGGAAGAGTGAACTCTTATATAATCCTGAAATTCGAGGTTTGGCAGCCCAGGTTTGCGCTATGCAGTTACCTGGAGTCTGAAGTGTTGTTTTTGTTAGGTAACAAATCGGAAGTACCCAAAACTGAAAGAAGTGGATGATGTGCTTGGTGGAGCAGCTGCCTGGGAGAATGTTGACTCTACTGCAGGTAAGAGGGAACACTGTTTCTATTGCTAAACTGGATAATTATGAGGCTGTTGATGCCACTGCATGGCAGAGTCTGTGATGTCATATAAATGATGTAGGTTTCTAAAAATAGAAATGGTTTTTGAATAATTTATTAGTATTTGTTACTGTTTAGTAATCTGTTACACAAGCAATATTTGTACAAGCCTTGGAGTCTTATAGGCCCATGTTAGATTCTCAGGCCCTTGTACTGTGGTAGGACCTTCCTTGGGTCTCTTGACTTCTCTGGGGCTAATCCATATTCGTAGATCGTGAGAGCATAAAGTGAGTTATACCGTGCTTGGTATATAAGAGGCAGTGAGCAGGTGATAGCTTTGATAATGGCAATGATGAGTAGATTAATAAAAATAAGAATCTAAGGAAAAAAGTATGTTCTTTCTGTTTGATATGGTTTGGCTGTGTCTTCACCCAAACATCTTGAATTATGGTTCTTGTAATCCCCAGGTGTCCTGGGAGGGGCTCACTGGGAAGGAATTGAGTCATGGGAGTGGTTTCCCCCCGGTGCTGTTCTGATAGTGAGTTCTCACAAGATCTGATTGTTTTATGAGCGTTTGGCATTTCCCCTGCTCACACTCATTCTGTCTTTTGCTGCCTGTGTGAAGAGGTACCTTCCTCCAAGATTGTAGGTTTCTTGAGGCATCCCCAACCACACAGAACCGGGAGTAAATTTAGACCCCTTTTCTTGGCTGGGCGCGGTGGCTCACGCCTGTAATCCCAGCAGTTTGGGAGGCCAAGGTTGGCAAATCACTTGAGGTCAGAGTTCCAGACCAGCCTGGCCCACATGGCGAAACGCTGTCTCTGCTAAAAATAAAATAGTCGGTCGTGGTGGCAGGCGCCTGTAGACCCAGCTGCTCAGGAGGCTGAGGCACGAGAATTGCTTGAACCCGGGAGGCAGAGGTTGCAGTGAGCTGAGATCGCACTATTGTGCTCCAGCCTTGATGACAAGAGTGAGAGTCTGTCTCAAAACAAACAAACCAACAAACAAAACCGCTTTTTTCTATGTAAATTACCCAGTCTCAGGTATTCATAGCAGCGTGAGAACGGACTAATACACTGTGCTCATATAGATTTCTAGAAGTTAATACCAATGAGCATGAGCATTAAACTGCAGATTGGGTAAAATAAATGTGTATTGCATGTCTGATAGAGATAGATGTGACCAGCAGAGGAAAGGGGAAGGCCCTAAATATAAGTTGTATTGAGAGGGGAGAGAGAACTGATGGTTAGTACTGTGTTTTTCTCCCCTATAGAAAGAAACTATAGCGGAGTGCGGTGGCTCACGACGTGCAAACTCCCAATGCAACTTTTGGGAGGCCAGTGCGGGCGGATCAGCCTGAAGATCCAGAGTTGTGCAAAGCCCAGCCTGGCTATACCACATGACGAAAACCCCAGTTTCTAATGACACTAAAATAACAAAATTAGCCAGCGTGTGGTGGCGGGACTGGAATGCCAGCTACCTTCGCGGAAGGCTCGGCACAAGAAGAATCAACTTGAACTGGGAAGCAGAACGGTTGCAGTGAGTCCCGAGATTTGCGCGTCATTGCACCTCCAGCTTGGGGCACAAGAGCGAAACTGTCAAAAAAAAAAAAAAAAGGAACACTAGAATCTATCTGCTATGCTGAAACAGTTAGTGGGTCACGCGCTTGGTGAGTCACACCCTATAATCTCAGCACTTTGGCAGGCCATGTGCGGGTGGAAATCATTGAAGTTCAACGCACACCTCAAGATACCACTCCTGCCAACATGGTGACAACCCCCTGGTTTTTCTTAAAATACAAAAGTGCTGGGTGCGGTGGTCCATGTGCTGTAACTCCAGCTGACTTGGAGGTCTATTGATGGCAGAGAACTTGCTGAAAACAGAAGGCATGAGGTATGCAGTGGCCGAGCACCGGTGCCACCTGCAACAGACTTTGCACGCAACGACTGTCCTTAGTAAGAAAAAAGATTAAGTACCTATATGTTCAGAAATCAGTGGTTAGAGTGTTGAAGCATTTCTATTCGCAAGTGTCGGAAATAAGTTTCGTCAAGTGGAATCGCTTGAGGGAATATGTACTTCCCTCTCTCCCTTCTTTTTTGTTTTTTTTTTGACGGAGTTCCCCCTTGCCTGTCACCCGCCCAGGCCTGGAGTGCAATGGGCCGTGCTCCTTTCGGCTCACTGCAAATGTCCACCCTTCTGGGTCAAACAATTCTCTTGCCCCGAGGCTGCCCGAGTAGCTGGGATTACATGAATGCTCACCACTAGCCCCCGGCTATTCTTTTGTATTTTTATAGCGACCGGGGTTCACATACGCTACTTGGCCAGATGGTCCTCCGATCTCCTGACTCCGTCGGGATCCCGCTGCCTCGGCCTCCCAAAGTGCTGGGATTACAGGCATGAGCCACCGCACTCAGCCCATAAATCACCATCTTTATTTGCACTGCTATAACAGAATACCACATACCGGGTAATTTATAAAGAACAGAAATTTATTGCTCACAATT